TTATATCTATTTGACATCACCCTTGAGAAAGCGGTCATTGACTGCTTTCTTCATTAGATATGAAAAGTTATTGAGACTTGGACGATTAGCAAGTAAATACCACAGTCGATATAGACCACTTCCTTAATAATGGCCTGATGCTTTCCATACTGCACTAGTCTTCTTTCTGAATTTTCATCAAATAGGATACAGTAAGTTCTCATTTAAACTCATAGATGGGTTTTTGGAAACTGTGACTTTAAGTGAAATAAGAAATAACAAAACAAATTTTACCATAAGCTAGTTGATACAAACAAGAATTCAGTTTCTATAGCAAGTTTCTCATTAAAAAACATTACCAAACATCTAAATAAAGATCCAGAACACTTCTAGTATCAAACATTGAAATAAAAGCAAGCTACATGTACATTTAAGAAAGAATAATAAATACGAATGATAATTATTTTTCAATTTTCTTATTTCAATTCAAGGTTGTGGATGGCTGGAGTCCATCCCACCAGCTCAGGGCAAAAGGCAGAAACTTGCCCTGGACAGAAAACTTCCATCTCAGGGCACACTCACATCCACACCCATTTTCACTCAGGCTGGGACAATTTAAACAGGCTGATTAACCTAATATGCACATCTTTGGGATGTGGGAGGAAACTGGAGTATATGAAGAAAACTCACACAGACATGGGATGAACATGCAAATTGCACATAGATACAGTGGCTTCAGCCAAAAATTGATTTTTTTTTTGTCATCAACATTATAACAAAACAAGATTGAATGAAACAACATTATTCAAGGACCTTCTGTACTTGTTTTTACCTGTGTATTTGATGTGTTCAACTCCCATTTTCTGTCCTTGTAGGAATTTGGACATGGAGCAAAAGCTGAATTCTCTCAGACCACACATGTGAGGATAGCAGAGAAAAAAGATGGCAGGAGAATGGGTTTCAGACTTTTCAATTCACCTATTCACTATTAAGCTTGGACCTCACAGGAGAAAAAAAAATGTGAGCTCATTTAAGCCACTATTTATTTTTTAAAAAAGTAACCAATATAGAAAGATGAAAGATGTACATAGTTGCTCCCAAGGTATACAGTGCTAAATCAACAAAAAGTTTACTAAAAATGAAACCCAACTGATTAAAGCTGTCATTTAAAAAATATTATTTTAACCAACTTTAAGAGGGAACCAATTATTCAGTTTCTAGTCAAGGTATAATGTGAAGATGTGAAAGCATGTGGAAAGGGTATATGCTAGGTTTGAGTATGGGATATACAAAAAGATAAATTTTCCTATGTTATAATTTTGCCTAAGGCAAATTTCTATAAATACATAACATTTTTACCTTCAGTAAACTAAAGTGTCATAGTAAGTAGAGTATTAGAATTTTTTTATGCTCACTAAATAAAGCATTCTGAGAATTATCTAAATAAATCTCAAATATTTTACACCAATACTTTTTATTCTATTTTATAGAACTTAGTTCTCCATTTCAACATTTTTCATGTGTGTACTGTTATAGAGGTACATTCTTATTATTTTGTTAATTTCATGCCAAATAATCCATTTAGATGGAAAGATGATTTATCTATCTATCTATCTATCTATCTATCTATCTATCTATCTATCTATTTATTTATTTTTGTGGTGTTCATGAACTTGTGTTTGTCTAATTTTGCTTTCCCAGTTTTAGTTACAAATGAGGTTTAATCACAGGAACTGCTACTATTTTCAGCATAATTGATGTCAATAGCTTATGTTAATTTCTGAGTATTAGATTTAATCATCAGAGGCAAGACCTTTGGACATGAGACAAATCTCGTGATCTGTGTGACATAGATGGAGCACTCTGTAGTCACTCAGGAAATATTCAACTCCACTTTGACTTTTCTTGAGCAGAGACCAGGCTGTCACCATTATTTGTTGGGTCACTTTTGTAATAATAGTACAAACAGGTTTCCTTAGGCTAGAGTTTTTTCATGTTGTATGACATAATTTAGCTGGTCATGGGGATTCCAAATAAATCAAGAATGAGATAGGTCACACGGTGCTAAATGGATTTTCAGAAATACCTAGACATGTACTCTTTTAGTCAGTTATTTTAACAATAATATTGTAACTATAATTCTGTATATAAAACCATAAAATCTCCATGGTATATAATATTGTATCAGTCAGGATTCTCTTGAAAAATAGAACCAGTTGGATACATATGTATCTATATAGATATATTTTGAGATTTATTTCAAGGAATTGGCTCACACCACTGTGGGGGGTGACAAGTTTGAATTTTGTAAGACTGGCTGGAAGGTTGAAAATTGCTGAGCAGGAATTGGTGCTGAAGTCTTAAAGCAGAATTTATCAGAGAAATGTCTGAGTTTGTCTTTTAAGTTCTTTCAATTCTTTGCATGAGGCCCAACATTATCTAGAATAATCTCATATACTTAAAGTCAACTGATTGTAGACATTAGCCATATCTGCGAAATACCTCCATATAACCGGGTACCAGGTTGACTAACTGGTCTAGCGTAGGTGACACAAAAAAAATTAACCATCATAATCTACCCTTTGTCAGTTTGGCACCCAAACACAACTTTTAATCCTATTTAATCTCCAAATAAAAACCATAAACTCATATTTTTAACCAAGGTAATGCAGATAGCTTTCATACAACTTAAAATGCACTTATCATTTTCTTTGAAGGACATGGAAAGTCCTTAAGTGATATTCAATCTTCTCCTTGATATACCGTAACTTAAATGTTGTGATGTAAAGGTTTATATCAAATGTTTCTGGTTAGTCTAGTGATCCTGCTGGTGAACAGCTAGAAATGATTACCAGAGGCAGCCCTGCCTTGGATCCACTGTAGCAGGTTGGCCTTAGTGTGTGGAAGTCCAGCTGCTGAGCCCAAGAATAGCTTCCATTCCTGCCCCAATGCCATTTTGTTTATTTGTCCATTGGGCAATGACAGGTTAGAAGACATAAGGGGCTGATTGGTAGCCGCAGAACAGATCATCTCATTCACTGGATTTTAAAAATCTTCATTTGCCTAACACCCTTTGGTAAGCATTTACATGGGATATACATATCTTTTTTTTTTTTTGTCCATATATTATAACAATATCAGTTCATTAATTTTTACAAATGTGTCATACTAATGTAAGATGTTAATAATAGAAGAAAGAAGATGAGGTATACGTGGAAACTCTGCATTATTTATATTTCTGTAAATCTAAACTATTTCAATATGAAAATTTATACAAAAATGTCTCAGAAAGTTTTAAAAAATTATAAGCACTTAAAATAATTTTATTATAGTTATGTAATTTATGCTACATAGTAACCGTTATTTTGAATCTCATACTAATTCATTTTCTGAATGAACTCTGATACTTTTATCTTCTACTTTGATGAAAAATGATAGCAGACTAAGGAAAAAAAGGACAAAAAATGGTAAAAGGTATAGATACAACCCCTACTCAAATGTGTCATATTATTAATAATGACATCTTAAAAATATGTGTACTAAAGGTGAATTCAGCATAGAAAACTAAATATAAGATTAAGCTTAGGCAGGTGGATTAAATATCTTTATGTCTATTTCTTTGGTTTTCTAGTCGCAGAAGATTAATTCTAGAGACACCATGTTTTTTTTTATAAGCAATAAATGCTGAATTCTACTTTTATAGTAAAACAATACCTCTTTGTCAAAATTGAAGTAGAGTAGATGTTTAATTTTTTCAAATATAATCTTTAAGAGCAATTTTGAAAAATAATTGTTAAATTAATGAAAAATATCTTGCAGATACCTTAATATTATGTACTTTATATAATCAAATTATACTTTTTCTTATCAAATTGCCCTTTTATTTGCTAGTGACTTATTTTTATCTAACTCTACTGTAATCAGTCTCCTTATGCATTCCAATAAAATAAAACCAGGCCCACAACTCATAAGACCTGTTCAGGAAGAATATTCAGTATATCATGTGGTATGTTCAGTTACTATTGAAATAGTCAATTCTTTTCCTTCTAAAGTAGTTGTAGCAATCCATTTACAGCATAAGTAAACCTCTTACTCTATTTCACCCACACATACTTGTTCACTAATCTCAAACAACAGAAAATGATAAAGGACAAAATAGTTTACTGTTTCAAAGACTGAGAGGAGGAATAATTTTGAAGTGTACAGAGTCTTCTCTTTTGGAATTCACCATACAGTTTACTTTGAAGTCTCATTTACCTAAACCATTATATTTCGACTGTGCCTTTTTTATAATGTCATGCTGTCAATTTTCTGTGATAACTTTTAGTTTTATTAAATTTATCATATAATTAAAACTCTCTAACAGCATTTTAAAAAAGTTTAGATGCATTTATATACATTTAAGTTTATGTCTACCATTTAGGTAATATAGTGCTCATAAAATGAATCTGTATTATATATTTTATACATTGATTTATAATTCACTCTGATAAATAGCTTGTTTCCTTACATCACACTGTTTGTGAACAAAATTTTAAGTTCCAAAGAGAATTATTCATACATAATTTTTTTTTAATTAAAAAGAGTGATATTAATCAACCCCTTTTTCAAGAGATAACATCATGAAAGTCAACTTTTAATTACTTCTTTTGAAGTTTCATTTCCAGTTGCCAGCTCAGATTTCAAAATGAATGTTGGGAATAAGCTAACTCTTGAGAGAGGAGGTTAATCATATTGTAGATCATATCTGAATACTTAGTGGAGTAGGACATGAAAATGCACATTCTCAATCGCTCTGAATGGTGGCAATATGTTTATACTTCACAAAAGCTGGGATTCAGACTTTTTCATCTCTTCCTTCATTTTCTCTTTGTTATACCCTAGGAGTTCTTGTTTGGTGCAGTTGACCATGAACATAGCTGAGCATAGGATCAGCTTCATAATTTCTTACACTTTAGTAGTGTTCTCCTTGCTTACACTTGATGCTGTGCTCAAACGGCTTATTATTTCTGTCTTTTCAGACGGCATCCTTTGCAGTGTCATAGCACATGGATTTCAGGACTGCCTGTGAAGAGGTAAGTTAAATGGCTCTCTGCTTTTCAAATAAGGAAAATAGGAATAAACAGAAAACACTTGACCCTCCTTTATGTAAGTAGATCATTGCTTTCAATAGAGAGGTGGGTGATAAGTTCATTTTACTTCCAGGTTATGATCTCTTTCTGCAAGACTAGAAAGCAAAAGAGTGCCTGAGAAGACTCAGATATTTGCTCTTTCCTTAAGAAAAAGAAGGTTGGATATTTGGTTTGATTGAATTGCCTTTCTCCATGAACTATACACTGCAGGATTTCAGGTAGTAGAAGTGTTATAAGTAATTCTTTCCACATAAATGGTTATAAATTAGAAGATTATATAAAGTCTCTTTCAGCACTAAAATTATATATTTTATGATTCCAATATTATTTAAGTATTTCAATATTATTTAAATATTAATACATGGCAATTCAAATTCTCTCTAGAACTGTCATCACACTTCAGTATAAGTTAAAGGGGCACATTGCTCCTGTAAGGATATTAAAACCCATTCAAAGGTGCAGTCAAAAATGTATGAACTTAGACCTCCAGGTAATGTAATTGTTCTATTTTAGGAAAAAAGACTATCTTTTTGATTAAATATGGGACATTCAAAGTATTGTATTTTTATTCTTCAGGCAAAATGTAAGCATTCATAGGTTAAAATATTTCACATTTATTTAAAAAGTATAAAACATTTTTATCGTGTATGAATAACCTAAGAAAAAACAATCATAACTAAATTGCCTATGATAAAGTTAAAAACCAACCAACAAAACCTTCAGTTATTAATATTTGTGAAAATTTTTTAAATGAAATTTTGAAAAATATCTCCTTTAAAAATATTTATCACAGTTGGTTCATAGTTTAGAATTTAAATTCTTTCAGAAAATTAATAAATTGCTTTTAGTTTTTTAATACTTATACTTCTTACATTGTAGTTATTTGTTTACAAACCTCTCATGAGTACTGAATATTATAAGGTCAGAGTGTATAACTTATTCATCTTTTAAACTTCGCACTATCCGTTTATATTTAAAAAAATAAATTAATGTTTCAGAAGCTTAAATATAGAAGCATAAATTTTAATTATGTTCTATTTCTAGTTTTGAATGTAGTAAGTCTACTATTTCCATCAAATTGTTATGTTTCTGATAGTAAAGCATCCATTGAATGAGACACAAATGAAACACATAAGGAATTCACAAGATAGAGACTGGATAGTGGCTAAATGGCATTTTAACAAATGGTTTACCTTGGACTTTGGAGGCTGACATAAGATTGATTTCTCAGACCTTTTTTAAAACAAAATTGTTTTGATTCATTGATTCGAACTATATATAAATTCTACTTAGGGTTCAGAAGATTTATCTTATAATGATAATTCCGTTGTGATCATCTCACCCTTGCTTCTGTAGTAATAGGGTCTTGCTCTTTTGCAATAAACCCTTTTAGAATAATTATCGTTTAGACTGTCCTCCCCATGGAATACAACTGTCTCAGAACTGCTCAGCAGTAGTACCCGTGTGTCTTCCACATGGTGGGTGTGTTGGCAAGAATAGAGAACTATAAGATTTCCTGAAGATGATCAAATCACCCCGAATATAGGCCACAATCAATGAGTTTGTCTGCTATTAATAGTCTCAGACCATTTAAATGGACAGGATTCATAAAGATAATTTAGCTTAATTGTCATTTTGTAGATGAGAAAATTGAGAGGTTTTTTGAAATGCTGAATGCCATTTAATTAGTTAAAAGCAAAACTATAATTTGTAGCTTGGAGTCTAAGCTTAGGCCTCTTCCTGAAGTACTACATTGCTGGAAATTATTATCACAAAGATATACAAAATAAAACTCATATTCCCTTGACTGCCAATAAGCCATTAAATATGAAAATCAGATATCCATGTTATCAGACAGATTTATCTAGAATATTATAGTGCTGATGTCAGGAAATCTCTTCTTTGAAAAAGAATAGAAGTATGCCCCAAATTAAGTACATCTTAATTTTGTAATACAGATTTCTTTAAGAGAAGTTTGTTTATTGTTTAAGGAAGTTCTCTTTTAAAAAGTTATAATTATTTTAAGGAATCAAGATTTAGAAGTCTAACAATACACACAAATGAAAATGGAGAATACAATTAGGATAAATAAAAAAAAATCCACAATTTAGAAGAAAAAAATATGTGCATAGTCAGGCATAATTATTGATTTATCTTCTAAAAGTATCATCAGAGTAACTATGTGTTCATAAGCCTTTAAGCTATCTTCAGTCTAGATTTTCCTCACATTTTATTTTCACATCTACATTTCTTAAAATACAATCCATGTCTCTGTGTCGATTATGATTTCTCTGTAACACATAATGAATAATTTAATAATTCATGCACATAATAATTAAATTTAATTCCTCATGAATACAATATAATATATGACTATGATTCAATCAACAAATATTGAAAGAAATCCTACTCTAAATAAACTACTGTACTAGGTCCTATAGATTAATAATTCTTAGTAATAAAAATAGTAATGTTATTATTACAATTTTCTTGAAATAATGATATATAATGTGAAGTTATATAACGTGATATATAGCTAAATGTTTTTGAGGTCACTATATGTGATGTCTAAATACAATATTGATCATTAGGAAGATATATTGATTCAATGAAAACCCTGCATTCAGAATAGTAAGGACTCATTTTTGGATGGAGTGGTCTTCAAAGGCTTCAGGAGAAGTGAGTCTTATACTAGTACTTAACAGCTGGCTAAAATTTAACAAAGAGAAGACCATGGCTATAAGTAATCTTGGAAAGGAAAGGAAAAGGATAAAATACACTTTGAACCGTGCATGGAATGGCATTTAGTATACTACTGCTATAGTATGGTACAATATAAAAAAAAGATCTATCTATCTATCTATCTATCTATCTATCTATCTATCTATCTATCTATCTATCTATCTATCTATCTATCTATCTATCTAGATATATATCACTTAAAAACCTTAAAAAAGATTTGCAGAACAAATTAAATTATATTTGACAACCAAAAAAATGAAATATTGAATATACTTACAAGAATATTTGCAGTGCATATTATAGTTTCTGCCTAGTTTCCTGTTGTTTGTAGTTTCTTACAAGTAATATTGCAAATTCTACATTTCCAAATTAAAGGAACATAGATTTTAACTTTTCCAGAAAACACAGTTTGTGTTCTTTCAAAGAGTAGAACCTAAAGAAGACTTAGATATTTGAATGTTAGTTTATTTTTTACAGTTCCAGAGATACTAAGTTTAAGCTAAGCATAAATTTCTATTAAGTTGAAATGCAAGATTTGTTTTTAAAACATAGAATAAATCCACGCAAATTTGTAAACACATTTCATTAATTTACAGAAAACAAGTCAATGACTAAATATTTAAAAATATTGCTTTTTAAGTAATTAAGAGATATTGCCTTTTACCATTCCTTTAAGAAAATAATCTCCAATGTGGATTTTGAAAAATCCAGCTGCAGTGTAAGATCATCCATCAGGCACGGGAAAACAACATTTGAATTTATATTATTTTTTTATGAATCATCTCCTTAAAATTTTAAGTTTTATGTATGTTTAGACTTTGCATAGTATATTTGTACATTATATATAGCAAATACATTTCTGCACTCATGTATAATATATACACAGTCAACAAAGTTTAAAGACAAATAATTATTGTGTTAATAAAGAGAGGACAAATGCAGATCTTCAGTTAATACTAAAATGGGGGGCCGATAATTACTTAGATTTTTTTTTAATTTTTAAAAATCGGGGTCCACAGATCTGTAAAGACTTTGAGGCCAGGCTGTTTTAGGTTGCGCTGACTAGTTACCGCTGTCACGGTCCTGTTACCCATTCTTATCCCTGAAGCAATACAAGCAGATGAGGGTGTGTAAATCAAGCTTTTCTCCTTATCAGATAGTGTCCTATGCTCCCTTAGTAGCATGTCCTTAATGGAAAACTTAGCTGTCATGTCCAGAGTAGTCCCTTGCACATCTTATTTTCCCTCTAGTTGTCATTGCTTTGATACATGACAAATATCTGTTTAAGATGAACTACTTTTCAGAACTCTTTGCACTTTCATAGGAGATTTTGGTGACTAAAATGCTACCTGAGGAAAGATACCAATAGCCATATGTCTGTACAGGAAGATTGAGGCAGGTATCCTCAAATAATCTCTGCCTGAGGGGAAACCCAAGACAGTGGATAAAAGCATGGGATCTGAAGCCTTGCAGCTTGGGTTCAAATCCTGAGTCCCACTCATCTCTGCTCTTCTCCTGTCCAATCTATGAGACTAGTTCCATTGGGTTATTAGGAGGGTCAAATAAATTAATATTCCTGGGCACACAGTAAGTTCTATATAAGTGGTTATTAAACAACAAATAAATGAAATATGTGGCCACACTTCATTAGTGATAGTACCCATACAGCGATGATGCTCTGAATCAGGAGAGTGCCCTCGAATTAATTTTATCCATTTCTTTGATCTACTATAGCAGATTTAAATTTAATGCAATTGTTTCCCAGTCTCCAACATTTCTTGCTCATGGTTTATGTTTCTATCAACAAAAACTATGTTTAACTTTACAAATTTTTATCCATCTTCTACTTTGCTATAAGAAATGTATTTATAAAACTACATTTAAATACATTATTTCAGTTTCTTTAAGGCATTTCCATTACATTCAAACTCCTGGAACATCTCACGAGAGCCTTGCCCTACCTTCTCCTTTCCTGGCACTTCTCCCTTGGCCATTACTGAATCATACAGAATCAGCATCAGGGATGCATTCTTGAGCTTCTGTTTTCTAGAATCGAATGAACTAAGCTCTATATCTTCTTATGCTCTATATCTTTACTTTTCCCCTCTTGAATAAACTAACTTACCTCCTTCAATTATCGTATTCTCAATTTATTTTTTCAAGACAAACCATATATATTTTTTCTATATACAAAGCCTCATTTAATACATCCTCAAGAATATTTAATTCCTCTCTCCATGTTCCTGTATCAGATATCACATTTCATCTTATTTATAGATGTGTATTTTCGTGAGTAGGAATACACTGAGGTCAGAGACTATTGTCTAATTCATGTCTGACTCTGTTAGCTTTACACAATATTTGAAAAATGATGCATGTGTAGGATCTTAAATGTATTTTCTTATACATAAACTGAATTTTTATAATAGAATATGTGTAACATCTATAACCCCTGGAAAAATTATATACATATATATTTTTATTCTAACAAAAGCAGCCTCATTATCTCATCTTCTCAGGTTGAAACATGAATTCAAAGTGTATAAAGTCTATATTTTGTTTTCCAGGCCCCTTTCTATTAATTAGGGGATATTTTACATGTTATCTGAAGGTTGAGTGAAAGGAGGATTGATCATGTCATAAACATGATGAGAGAAGCCTCATAGCTATTTTAGTCCCTCAAACTTTCCCTGTGCGATCTTTTATATCTCTTTTATGTGTAACAATAATGTATTTATGAGGTCTCAGGGAAAGCTTCTCTTTCATCTTCAAGTTGAGACAGAGCATTATTTGTGAATGCCAGTTTAGTCATTACACTTCTGAGAAAAAATTGGCCCAAATATACTGTACATTGAAAAATTAGTCAATGTCCTCAATCCTATTTACATAGCTTTAATAATATTTTATACCTATCTTTGCCCCATGCCAACTCAGAGTCCTTATGTTGGCTCCTGGCCAAGTCTGCACTATAAGCATGAAAACTTTTCCATGTGAAAATGTAGAAAATTGTGTTCTATAAGGAAAATTTAATTTGCTTTAGATGAAATATTTTTGTCCTCTAGACATATCCACTGGAGTAAAACTCTAGAATACATTAATCGACATGATTTAGTGAGTGCCTGCTGTCCACCAGTCTCATAGAGGTGGAAACATCATCCTTGCTCCTGAAAAAGTTTGTTTTTTCTTAAAATATATCATAACTCTTAAAAATAATTATAGACTAATATAATATCATATATGATAGAAGGTGTAATGGTATGTATTAACACATAGGTTAAAGCAGATTACAGAAAAAGTTATTTTTGGAGGTTACTTTATCTAAGTATATTCTCATCAACATTAATGAACACTGTTCTAAAGAAATAAATTCCTAGCAATTCACATATAAAATTATATTTCAAGAGAAAGCCTGGTATTATTTTCCTGGGATTTTGTGCTCATGATATACTGAGGATACGTATGTACTTCCATGAGCTTACCCCTTTATCTAAGTTAAGAATAGTTCAATAATTATTAAAGAAAAATGTAATTGCAAAAGTAGCCATTGTCCCTGTTGACTTGTTGGTGCCGAATAACAGCCCAAAATTATATTCTGTCTCAAAAGAACTTAATTTTATATCTCTGACAAATGGAAGTGTTAAGTGCACTTGCGAGGGAGAATCTGCTTGTTCATCTGAGTGAATATTATAACACTGACATGCTTCAGAAGTGACAAGATTCATGGATTCTTCAATGGATTACTAAATTGCTGGATTAAATCTATGTTATACAAGTTAAAAATCATCACTGGTTGTTTTATATCCCAGAAAGCGTGAAGCAAAAACAGTGGACTGGGAATCAAAAATCCTGGGTCTCAAACCAGGCTATGATTTTAATTAATTATATTAATTTTGGCAGTTCACATCAGCTCTTTATCTTTGTTCCCTCATATGTACACAATGTGTGTGTGTGTGTGTGTGTGTGTGTGTGTGTGTGTGTTGGCAACTAGAAATAATTAAATCGTGGAGGTTACAGAAGATGTTAAGTAGGTATGTTTCCAAATTTAAAATTCTATGGTAAAGACAGAGAGTAGAAAGAGGCTGGGAAGATGATGCTCATGGGTTTCTTTTTGGAGTAATAAAAATGTTCTAAAATTGATTATCATGATGGCTGCACAACTTTACTAAAAACATTTTATCATACACTCTGAAGGGTTAAATTTTATAGATGTCAATTTTATCTCAATAAAGTTATTTTAAATTTAGATAATAAGTATTAAAGAAAATTTTCTTTTATAAAAAAAATATAATATATAAACTATACTCCTCACTCTCCAAATCTTTATGTAGATTTTCTGACATAATCTCCAATATCCGGGATCTGGGGTCAACTGTATGTGAAACAGTTATCCTTTTCTTTGTATCTACATTAAGTATTACATTTCAAACTCACTGGAGTACATTTTACCTAGCTTTCAAGTGTTATTCATCATGTTTTACAGTAAATATGTCATACAATTATATCTACAAACTAAGTATACTTTTTTTCTCTTTTGTTTTGCTCTTTTGTTTTTCTGCCTGAAGACAAAGACAGGGATTTGTTTGCTGCAGGATGGTAATCAGGACCCTTTCAAAGTTCGGCTACACCTAGCCAAAGATATTTTGATGATTCAAGAACAAGATGTGATATGTGTGTCTGGTGAACCTTTCTATTCTGGTGTAAGTAGCTTTTTCTTCTATTGAAGTTTTTTGGTTTTGTTTATTAAAAAGTTTATTCATAGAAAATTATTAATACATATATCTATTTACTTTTAGAGCTCAGTCAATCATACTGCATGTAATTTTTGTTCACATTATTGAATGAGCAGTCCTTGTATAAGTACTCATACCTGGGTGCACAGCCACATATTTAGTGCCCATTTCCATTTTGGCATCTCATTGACTCCTTGTTGTATTTTTATGAATAGAGTGACACCTGTATTTTTTGATCATGAGAGAGTGTATTCTACCTTTTCACACAGAAGACTAACTGAGAACAGTACATGTCAATTTTTTTATCTTGATTTTATCTCACATCATGTTGAATTTGGGGAGATGTTCCAAAGATAGAGCCCAATTCTTGGCATCTGGGACTCATAAGGCTTTAGGTAAGAGAAATGAAACTCAGTGTCAATGCTTTGTATGAGGGGGTTAGGTATGAATAATTTTGTGGACTTGCTTGATAGGATTATGCTTGAGTATTGTAGCAAGTTCTGTCCAATGCTCTAAGCAGTTAATATATTACCCTGCAGTTATTCTAGCCTCAGAAAGAACCATTAATTATACATCAAACTCATTGGTCTGCTAACTAACACTGAAGTACCACTGTGAAAGATATCTTTAGGGAAAATTAGATTAAATTCAGCAAAACAATGTTATCATAAAACAGGACAAGTTTTAGAATTTATCATTTATTGTGTAATAACATTAAAGCCATCATTTTAGCAATGTTGCCATATGTCATCTCAGAAGAAAATTACAGCAAGTACCAAACAGTTGGTTTCCTGGATTCCCCAGACATTTGTAGTTTTTTAGCATGAAGGTTTAATTTGTAGCTAATTAACAGACTTATCATATAATCTTTTGTTAGTGGTGAAAAATGCTGAAATTTCATCCTCACTTTTCACTAACATCCTGTGGGAGTCACATCAGGTCCTAAATCAATAGCCTTTGCTAAATAAAGATAATGGACATTTTACAAACTGTTAACTATTCTTTCGTCACAGACCATTTAAATCATCCTGAATTATAGGTCTTGCTGTTAAGGCTGATTAAATTGTTCCCATGGGGTTACCATTTCTTTGTTTTACTTAACAAAGAATAGTGTTCCTTCCTTGCTTCCTCCTCCCTCCCTCCATCCCTTTCTTTCTCCTTCTCTCTCTCTTTCTCTCTCTCTTTCTCTCTCTCTTTCTCTCTCTCTTTCTCTCTCTCTTTCTCTCTCTCTTTCTCTCTCTCTTTCTCTCTCTCTTTCTCTCTCTCTTTCTCTCTCTCTTTCTCTCTCTCTTTCTCTCTCTCTTTCTCTCTCTCTTTCTCTCTCTCTTTCTCTCTCTCTTTCTCTCTTTCTTTCTTTCTCTCTTTCTTTCTTTCTTTCTTTCTTTCTCTCTCTCTCTCTCTCTCTCTCTCTCTCTTTCTATCTTTCTTTCTCTCTTTTTTTCCTACTGAAGAAATACGCTTCTTATAACTTTCTGGAATTAATATATTACACAAGTCCTAGATCAGCAAAATTTTGTAATTTGTAAAATTCAGTATTTCAACACTGAAATAATGTTATTGTTTTAAATTTTGCAATCAAAATAGCTAATACTCATAGACCTAATCTCTATATTATAAATTATGCAATTTAATATATTACATGTATCTGTTAGAAATAAATTTAATAAATGTACAAAATTTCTACCTTGAAAACTACAAAACTATTATTAAAAATGAAAATAATCAAGTAAGTGGAGAAATATAATATAATTATGAATTAAGAACTAATATTAATAAGTTTTCACATCTCCCTAAATATCCAATATCAATCAAAACTCTGACATTGCCAAAATGATTCTAAAATTTAAATGAAAATACAAAGGACTTAATATAGCCAAAACAATCTTGAATAAGAACAAAATTAGAGTATTTATTTATATTTCCTGCATTCAGAACTTATTATAAGACTACAATAGAGAACACAATGTGATATTGTCATAAGTTTGGGCACATGAATCAATCGAATATTATAGACTCCAGAAACAGACTCACACTTATATAGTCAAATGCTTTTTTTTTTAAATTTGTAGTAAACTATACATAACATAAAATTAACCATTTCAACATTTTTAAGTGTACATTTTAGTATCATTGAGTATAATGTCATTGTTACCTACTGCTATCCATCTCTAGAATTTTCATCATAGCATACTGAAACTCCATACCAATTTAACAATAACTCTCCATGTTCCCTTCCTCTCAGCCCCTGGTAACCACTGTTCTAATTCTTGTCTTTATGTATTGACTCATATAAGTGGAATTACAAAATATTTATCCTTTTGTTTCTGACTTATTTCACTTAGTTTAATGTATTCAAGGTTCATCTCCATTGTAGCATGTATCAGAATTTCATTAATTTAAAAGACTGAATAATAGTCCATTGCATGTATATTCTACATTTTGTTTACCTTGTTTATTCATCTGCCAAACAATGAACATTTGGGTTGTTTCTGCCTTTTGGTCCTTATGAAAATGTATTTACAAATATTTCAGTCACCATTTTCAATTATCTTGTGTATGACCCTGGAAGTAGAATTACTGGGTAAAATGGTAATTCTCTGCCACTTTGTTGCTTAATCCCTTATCAGATATGTGATTTACAAATATTTTCCCTCAACCTGTGGGTTGCCTTTTTACTCTGTTGATTGTTTCCTTTGATACATAAAGGTTTTTAATTTTGATGAAGTCCAGTTTACTATTTATCTTTTGTTGGCTGTATTTTAGTACTATGTCTAAGAAATTATTGCCAATTTCAATGTTATGAAAATATTATCTTATATTTTCTTCAAAGATCTTCTAGTTTTATCTCTTACATGACATATATAATACATTTTGAGTTAATTTTTGCATATGGTGTTAGATAAGGTTACAACTTCACTCTTTTGCAGGTGGATATCTAGTTTCTTGATACCATTTGTGTTTTGGCACCCTTGTCAAAAATCATTTGACCATATATGTGAAGTTTTATTTCAGGGCTCTCTATTCTATCCCATTGTTCTATATGTCTGTCTTTATGTCAGCACCACGCAGTTTTGATTACTATAGCTTTGTGGTAAACTTTAAAATCAGGAACTGTGTGGTGTCTAGATTTGTTCATTTATAGAAATGATTTGTTTAATTGGAGTTTCTTAAGATTCCATATAAATTTTAGAATAGATATTTTTATATCTATAAAAAATTCACATTGAGATTTTGATAGGGATAACACTGAATTTGTAGTATTGACATCTCAACAATAATAAGCCTTCTAATTCATGAACATGCGATGCCTTTTCATTTATTTGTCTTTAATTTTTTTAGTAATGTTTTATATTTTTTAGTGTACGTTTTTCACCTTTTTGCTTAGTTAATTTCTACATATCTTATTCTTTTTGATGTTATTATAAAAGGAGTTGTTTTCTTAATTTTCCTTTTAGATTGTTAATTGTTAGTGTATAGAAGTGCAACTGATTTTTTTGTGTTCACTTTGTATCTGTTAATCTACTGAATTCTTTTTAGTTCAAATAGGTTTGTGTGTATGTGTGGAATCTCCAGAACTTCTACATTAAGATCATGTTATATGTGAGAAAATATAATTTTACTTCTTCCTTTCTAATTTGTTAATTTTTATATATTTTTCTTGCTTAAATTCTCTAAGACTTCCAGTATTATGTTTAATAGAGGTGGCAAAAGCATGCATCTCTGCCCTATTCTGAATTTTACAAAAAAATAAATAATAAAATAAAATAAAATACATAAAATAAAAAGCTTTAAGTCTTTCAACTTTGAGTATAGTTTTACCTGAGGAATTTTTATATATGGTCTTTATTATATTGAGGCAGTTTTTTATTTTACTTATAGTTTATTGAGCATTGAAAAGGTGCTGAGTTTTGTCATAAAAGGGAATCAAATTTGTTAAATGCTTTTTCAGCATCAGTTGAGATGGTCAGTGTGTGTGTGTGTGTGTGTGTGTGTGTGTGTGTGTGTGTGTGTGTTGCCTTCATTCTGTTAATGTGGTGTATTACATTGATTGAATGTCATGTGTTGGGTTATCCTTGCATTCCAGGAATAAATCCCGCTTGGTAATAATGTATAATTAGAATAATATGCTGTTGACTTTTGTTTGCTACTATTTTGTTGAAGATTTTTGCATCATTGTTTATAAGAGATATAAGCCTGTAGTTACATTTTCCTGTAGTGGTATTTTCTAGTTTTGGTATTAGGGTAATTCTGACCTTAAAGGATGAGTTAGAAATTTTTCCATCTTCTTCAATTTTTTGGAAGAGTTTGAGAAAAATTGGTATGATCTCTTCTTTAAATGTTTAGCAGAATTCACTGGCGAGACTATCAAGTACACAACTTTCTTTGCTGGGAGTGTTTTAAATTAAATCTTGTTATCTTTGTTATGTTTATTTAAAATTTCTACTTCTTCATGCTTCAGACTTAGTAGGCTTGTTTTCTAGGAATTTGTCCATTTAATCAAAGCTTCATTTGCTCTTAGTACTCTCTTTAAGTTTCTTTTTTTTCTATCAAAATGTCTATACATCTGAGCCATACATAGAAGAAGGGGCCCCGGGACCTGGTGTTGGCCTACTGAACATGGAGCAAAAACATTGGGGCATGAGCCCATGAGAAAGTCTCATGAAGATAGATGAAACATGGAACTGAATTATTTAAGAACGAGAGACAGACAAAATGTTAGTGCTTGAATCTTGAGTTAGACAAAATGTTAGGTCAAGGATTAGCAGATCCAGGCATTCACACTGAGTTATTCTCTTAGCTTCTTTCTCTGAAGTTATTGACATATGGCAGGGTTTAGTTGAGGATCAGGAATCTCGAATTGGAAAATTGATAAGTGTGTGAGTGATTGCCTTTATAAGAAGGCAGGCTACTCTATTAGGGTGAGGAAAGGATATCTGGGAAGAGGCTGATAAGGAATGAATAAATCC